GGAGAGCCAGCTGCAGGGACCTGGGGGGACGATGAAGGTGGCTCTTGGGACGTCTCAGCCTGCCCTGCTCCGAGGCAGAGCGCACTCTCCCCGCCAGGAGCACTTGACTTTGGTGGAGGGAAGACCACACACTTGACAGAGGCCCGAGTCTCTGGGGAGACTGCCACTTCTGGGCCCCAATCCCACCCCACATTCCAGAACTTACTACGCAATTGCCCAGCAGAGATTTAATTACAGGACAGGGCTTTGGGCTGTTTCGAGGCGAGCCTATTATTTGGCTGTTTCTTCTCAGGGGGAGCAGGAGTGAGGTGTTGTTATTAGATGAAGCTGTGGGGAGGGAGGGGGGAGAAGCGACAGTACAGGGTGCTGAGCTGGACAGACAATTGGGCCCCAGCCTGGTCTCAGGGAAAGCTGCCAGGCTGCCAGGGTGAAACTGCAACCGGGGGTGTGGGCGGCTCACTCTGCTCGCTGCAGAACTCAGGCTGTCCGGAGACTCCCTGAGCCCCCTCCAACATGGGCATGAAGTGAGGGTGCAAGGGGGGTGAAGGGACAGGGAGAGGGAGGTGAAATGGGGGTGCAATGGGGGTGTAGGGCAAGGAGAGCAGCCTCAAGCCCTTCCGGTGTTCACGCATCACCCTCCTTCCCCCTTTTCCTCCAAAAGCAAGGGAAAATGAACAACCCTTAAGGAGTGCCCTGTGCTGGACACTTCACATCCATCATCTTAGTTCATCTTCATAACCATAAGGGGGATTGCTACCACCCCTGCGTTTGTTTGTTTATGTTTTATTTCTCCTGTATGCAAGCTGTGTACCTTCCTTTCTTCCTAAGAAATGTCCCACAAACAACTCTGCTCTTTCTGTTTCTGCCACCAGCACACACGTGGGGCCCCACCCCCTCCTGCTGGTATCCATGAGCCACCTCCTTATCCAGTTCACTAATGAATGAAGCCCCTTCCCTTCGCCCCCCAGCCTCCATGTTCTCCGTCCCACCCGTCCTTCTTCCAGATGTTAGATGAACATCCTGCACGCACAGCTGTTACCAGGCACCCTTGCCTGCACGGTCAGCCGTGCCTGCTCCTGGCAGCCAGAGCTTCTCAAACCTTAACACGCCCCTGAGTCACACTGGGATCTTGTTCAAACAAGGATGCTCTCCCAGGCCCCATCATCCGTCAGCTCACCGAGCCTCATAATGACCTTAAATTAATAACCTGTTTCACAGGTGAACAGACGGAGGCCCAAACAGGCTGCTCAGTGTCTGCGATCGGGCCAGCGTGATGCGAATGCTGCTGGTTCTGCCGAGTTATTCTTCTCTCATGTGTGACTAGGAAATACCTTTATGTGGTTGGAAATTTAAAAACGTAAAGGGGCCTTCCGTGAAAATTCTCCTCCCCGCGCCTATCCTATCGCCCCTTTGCCCAGGTCCCCCTCCCTCCACCCGCCGGTAAATACTTTTGTGCGTTTATTATAAATCTGTCCAAAGTTTCTCTCCGAACAGATCTTATCCTGCCCCACACGGCAGCACACCACACACACCGTTTTGTCAACAGCTTATCAGTTTATCTTGAAGATAACTGGACACGGTTGGCTGACTCATTCACTTTTAGGGTTGCGTTATTATTCCATTGTGTGGATGCACCATCATTTATTTAATCAGTCATCTCCAGGTGGAGTTGTTTCTGACCTTCCCGGCTGGCCTTTTCTAAGCCTTCCCCGAATTCCCAGCAGCGGCCCTCACAGCTCCTGCACGCCCTCCTTAGGCCCTCCAGCCCACCCCGGCTGCTCCTCCTCTGAACCTCTGACCCACTGTTCATCTCATGTACCTCCCCATTCTTTTTCTTTTTTTAAATATATTTTATTGATTTTTTTACAGAGAGAAAGGGAGAGAGATAGAGAGCTAGAAACGTCGATGAGAGAGAAACATCAACCAGCTGCCTCTTGCACACCCCCCACCGGGGATGTGCCCGCAACCAAGGTACATGCCCTTGACCGGAATCGAACCCGGGACCTTTCAGTCTGCAGATCGACGCTCTATCCACTGAGCCAAACCGTTTTCAGCAGTACCTCCCCATTCTTCGTCTCTCCAAACAGATGAAAGCAACTTGAACTCAGGAACCATGCCTTTGATTTCTCTGGACCCTGCACAGCCCAGAGCCGGGCACACGGCAGGACTGAAGAACGTTAGTTCCATAGTGGAAGTTGCACAGGAATGGAGGCACTCCCTGAGGGCCCTGCCGGGGCTGGTTCTGGGTGCCAGACCCAGGCGCTACCCAGGTGGGAGGACCTCACACCTCAGAGGTTTCCACACAAGAAGCCCTTATTATCTTGTACCTGAGTGTCTAGAGCACTGGGGTGGGTGGTGAGGGTGTCCAGGGCATGATGGGGCTTCGGGATTGTCTGGGCCCTTCCTAGGCAGACGGTGGGAGGAACCATGACGTGGAGATAGGAGGGCGGGAGGATGGATGGCTTGTGTGTATGCCCTAGATGCCCTCCTTCCCTTCTCTATTAACATCCTCGTCATCCTCCATGGGCCAGCTCAAGTCCGAATTCTTCCAGGCAGCCTTCCTGGACTTGTCCAGCTCACGCTGACCACCCTGCTCTAAAATTCCTGCTGTGTGTTTTACTGACAGCATCATCGTGGCCTGCCACCTTGAATCATGTAAAACCTTACCTACCGGATGAGACCCCAAGATTCTCTCCAGCATAAATAATACTTTTCAAATGCTCACACATCCCCATGCACCCCAAACCCTCAGCACAGCACCGGGTCCCCACAAATACTCCTCGAAAAAGCAGGAATTGGTTCTAGGAATGCCATGGCGGTGGGTGGGTGGGTGAGCCGGGGTTGGCCACAGGCATGTCTCTAACCAAAAACATTTGGGGAACACTCACAGCCATAGTCTCTGAAGGTCCAACTCATCCTGTCCATTGACTCTGGAGCAAGAAGAGGGGGCTTTTTAAAAATGTTACTGCTGCCCTACCCGGTATGACTAAATGGATAGAGAGTTGGCCTGCAGACCAAAGGGTCCCAGGTTCAATTCTGGTCAAGGGCATGTACCATGGTTGCAGGCTCCTCCCCGGTCTGGGCTCTGATCAGGGCTCATGCAGGAGGCAACCCATCGATGTGTTTCTCTCACATCGATATTTCTCTCTGTCTTTCCCTCTCTCTTCCACTCTCTTTCTAAGTCCATGGGAAAATATCCCCGGTGAGGATTAAAAAAAAAAAAAGTCACTATCATGAAAAATAAAGGCGTGAAACTGTGCTAGATTAAAAGATTGAAGGTACACGATAAGCAAATGCAGTGCGTGAGTCTTGATTGGACTGTGGATTGGAAAAAACGAAAATGACATTTTGGGAGATGACAATCGTGTATTGATGTGAAATTTGAGTGTGATGACTCTACTGTGGTCTCCTTATTCCTAGGCAAAGGAAACCGAAGTACTGATGGGGGTGGGGAGATATGCCACGATATCCACACCTTTCAACCTTTAGCAAAACGAAAATCAAAAAATAAATGTGTGTGGAGAGAGAGAGAGAGAGAGAGAGAGAGAGAGAATGCAATTATAGCAACATGCTAACAATTGAGAAATCCAGGAGGAAGGAATACAGGTGGTCATTTTACGGTCTTTCAAATTTCTCAAAATAAAAGGTTGAGGAGGAAATGCCTTTAGTACAAAGAAAGATACAATCCCAGCTTCCTGGGAGCAGGAGCCCGGGAAGCGCAGCAGTGGGCGCTGTTCCAGGAGCTTCGCGGAAACGCTGTCTGAGACGGAGCACCACCTCCCAGCCTTCCGCTCCTGCTGCCCAGAAAGCGTCAAAATCTAACCCTGTGGCCTGACTCTCCTGCCTCCGCATCGTTCTCACCGTCCCCCGGGGACCTCATCTGACCGACCTTCCCCAGAGGACAACCACCCCCCACCCCTTAGCCACCCCATGCACCTTAAAGGTCCACAGCTCTCCCTAGCCAGGTTGCTCAGTGGTTAGAGAGTCAGCCCTCGGACTGAAGGGTGGCCGGTTGGACATTCCTGGGCTGCAGGCTGGCATCATTACCCGCCACCCTGCCCTCTCCCGTTCCCCATATGCATGCAGGAGGCAACTAATCCCAATTTCGATTTCGCTTTCTCTGTCTCCCCCCTCCCTTCCACTCAGTCTAAAAATTAATGGGGGGAAATATCCTCGGGAGAGGATTAACAAAAAATAAATAAAGGCCCGCAGCTCATTTCCGTGGAGAGTGAGCCCCACCCTAAGTGGGCTGGCTCACCTTGAGTTTTTAAAAATGTATATTCACTTATCTTGACAGGAAGGGAAAAAAAAATGTGACGTACTAAAAACGCCCAGATTCAGTCATCCTGCATTCTCTTGGAGCTCTGTCAATGAAGCTATTTCCCCCTTTGCCATCAGATTGGGTGCGAGCTTACTGCTCACCCTGCATTTTTTAAAAAAATGTATTTTATTGACTTTTTACAGAGGAGAAGGGAGAGGGATAGAGAGAGAAACATCAATCAGCTGCCTCCTGCACACCTCCTACTTGGAGATGTGCCTGCAACCAAGGTACATACATGCCCTTGCCTGGAATTGAACCTGGGACCTTTCAGTCCACAGGCCAACGCTCGATCCACTGAGCCAAAGCGGTTAGGGCTCACCCTGCATTTCCTTAGGGGCGTCTGGTCCCGTCCATTGGAGGGCAGCTGCTCGCAGCGTCGGGCACAGCCCTTCCCCAGGTCCCCATCCTGACCTGCCCGTGACCCTGGGTAGAGCGAGGGACTAGCCCGCTCCCTCCCTCCCTCCCTCCCGCGGCGGGCGGGGCGGGGGGAGGAGGGATAGGGGGGAGGAAGGGTAGGGAAGAAGGGGTAGGGAGGAGGTCGGGAGGGACCTGGGGAGGGGACGGCCCTCCCCGGGCGGGGCGGGGGCCTGCCCACAATGGCCCGCAGTGGGAGGAGGCGGGCAGGAATGCGGCCGGGGGAGTCGGGCGGCGCGGGCGGGGCGGGGCCGCAGCCTCTTACCTGCCCAGGTAGCTCGCATTTCCCGGCGGCGAGCGGCGCCCGCACCACCTGTGGCCCGTCCGCTCCGCGGCGGGAGGACGCGGGGAGGACGCGGGCCATGGCCCGGTAGCCGCGGGGGCAGGGGCAGGAGCAGGAGGCGCGGGTCCGGCCGCGCGGGGCGGCGGCAGCATGAAGAAGGGCCAGACGGTGCAGGGCACCTTCAGCAAGATCTTCGGCAAGAAGCACGCCAGCCCCACCGCCTCCCTGTACGTCACCAACCCGCCCTGGATCTTCACCCGCGAGGCCGCGGAGGAGGGGGCCCGGGACCTGGGTGAGTGCGCGGGGAGCGGTGCGCCCGCCCCGGCTCCGGCTCTGGGTCCCGGCCGGGCCCCCGGCGGGCGCGGGGCGGCGGGGAGGGACACGTCGGAACCTGCGGGCCGGGCCGGCCGGGAGGGAGCTGCCGGGAAGGGAGGTGCGCCGGGCGGGAGTCTTGGGAACAAGCTGTTTGGGGGGGAGAGGAGGAAGGAGGGGACCCTCCCTCCCGGAGGCGGGGATGTTTGCGGACCGCGGCGCCGGCCCCGGCCCGTCCTCCTCCCAGGTGTTTGCTCTCCCTCCTGCTGGAAATTGGGGCTGCCGCCCGCAGGCTTCCTGGGGCGCAGTGGCTCCTCCTCCCCCAGCAGCTCTGTGGATCAGACGTGGCCCCACAGCGGAGGGCGAGGGTGCCCCCTTCAGCCCTCACCCCTCCTGTGGGCTCTCTCTTCTCCCTCCCTCCCTCCCTCCTTCCCTCTCCCCGGGGCTCAGACAAAGGGAGGGTCTGCTCTCCGGCGCCCACACCCTCGCTCTGCACGGGGAGGCCCTGCTCGCTGGGTGCCAGCCTGTGCCAGACACCGGCGCAACCCCGGGGCCTGGCTGTCTGCGTGCTCCGATGGGAACCGGGGTGGGACTGGGGAGGCCGGGGAACCGTCCTGACCCTGAGCCTGGCCGCAGTCAGGGTGGTGCATGGCTGCAGGCATCTGAGCACACCAGCCGGCCCAGCCCCGGGGCTCCGGCCGGCTGCGGGTCGCCCTATCGCCGCATCTCTCTGCGTTCTGTACCTTCTGTGACTGCGAGGACACCGGGCGGGAGGGGCAGGAACTCCCTGCTGGCCTGTGACCCAAGGCCCTGGGCCCAAGGAGGGTCACCTGTCCGTGCTTCTGTTAGTTCACCTGCCTTCATGGTCACCCCGTTACCTTCACTGGTGACCTTTATGGCCACCAGACTGGGACCCACAGAGGGTGTGGTAGCCTCGGCCGCTGCTGCTGGGTTCGGTTCGGCACCCGGGTTGTCACAGCAGAGACACCGGCCACCAGGCACCCGGACAGGAGCAGGGCCAACGAGTGGTCACCTCCCCCTGACCCAGGGATCTCAAACCAGAGGGTGAACAGTTAACCACACACTGTTCAGCCCTTCCCATGCCCTTGCTACAAAAGGTTAAGTGCAGAAGGAGAGAGAGGAAAGACGACCTCTGATTGCAACTGAAAGGAAAGGGCATGGAGCATTTTGCAGAACAAACAGCAGGAGCAAAGGCGAGGAGGGGCTGGGCGGCTTGGAGGCATGGTGCAGGAATTTACAAAGACGTGTGTGCGGCTGGGACGCCGCCCCTCGCCTGTGTAGCAAGCGTTTATCGATCCCTGTGGTGCAAGGTACGGTTCCAAAGTCCTGTGTTGTTGATCCCACGTCCTCAGCTGGCCAATCATGTAAGCACCATTATTCCCGTTTGACAGACGAGGGAGGTGAAGCAGCATGGCCGAGATCACAAGCCAGGGTTTTCTTAAGTGTGCGATGTAATGATTTTTTTAGTAGACCTAAGGAGTTGTGCAACCATGACCACAACTGGGTTTTAGAACATTCCATTACCCCGACCTTTCTCTCAGAGGCAGGGCCAATGTTTGAACCCTGTGGAAGGTAATTCAAGGGTGAATTTGACTGGAGGGGGTATCTGCCTGAGGACCTGCGCACACACACACACACACACACACACACACACATACACCCTTCTCTACGTTTTGGCCTGCATTGAGCCAGCTGCTGGTGGGGATCATTCCCTCCGTGAGAGAAATGGAGGCATGGTGCATCTCCAACCAGCTGCTGCCTTCACCAGCCTGGGCAGGGCTGGAACCTGGGTGGGGGGGGGGGCAGCTCCTCCCATTGCCCCTCGCTGGGCCTGGCGGGGCTGGGCCGGGCTGGGCCGCCCGCTGACTCAGCCTGGTCGCGCCCTGCACACGGAGGGGTGGGAGACTCAGGGCGCTGGCGGGATGGCTCTCCTGTGTTTCTGGGGTGTTCCACCGGTGCCGGTGGGTGTGGCAGAGGTCCCCTTTTCCTGCTGAACAGGACAAGCACTTGGGGTTGGGATGGGAGGGGCCGGTGCTGGAGATTCTATGATGTGATGGAGACTTCAGAACTGCCTCAGGGTCCTGCCTCTGCCAATAATGTGAGGACGAGCCAGTCTCTGGGCCGTGACTTTTTTTTCGTTAAATGGGGACGGTGTGCAGTCTGCCTTCCGATGTCTGCTTGAGGTTTGTACACGTTAGTGCTTTGAAGAGCATTAAAAAGAAATGCCCTAAAGCAAGGACTGGCAAATTACGGACCTGGCTCCACTCTAGCCCATGGCCTGTTTTTGTAAATAAAGTTTTATTGGAACCCAGCCACACCCACCCTTTACGTATTGTTTATTGCCAATGTCCTGCTAAAGCGGCAGACTTAAGTCGCTGCAGCAGAGCCTGTGTGGCCCACAAAGCTGAACATACTCACTAGTTGACTCTTTATTATTACTGTCAGGTTTTCCCCAACCCTGAGCTCTCCCTGCCCTGGCCTGCGGCAGCCCCTCTTCCTAGCACTGCTGCTGACCAGAGGAAACGGGCATGGAGAGCTATCCGAAGGACCCCCGGGGCCCCGGAGCCTGTCACGCCCTCTGCGGGGCTGGCGGTATCCGGCCCGTGGAGAAGGTGGTGGGACGGAGGCGGGCATTCAGCCTGTGTGTGCGGGACAGGAGGAGTGACCGCTTGCTCGGGGAAAAGTCTGTTTGCACAGGGCAGGCTGTGCACAGCAGGTAAAACGCAAACAATTACGTGGAGGTGGTGATGGATACGCTTTTTTTTTGAAGAATTTGCCTAACATTTATCCCAGAAACCTACCTCACTCGAGGGCTCCACGTAATGCACTTGCAGTCTTCATGAGGCCTCCTGCCTTCCCCAGCCACGCAAGGGTCTTGGCAAGTCCTGAGATGAGTGTGGAGCTGAGCAGCCGGAGACCAGGCCCTGGGGGCCGCACTGGTCTCTTGGGTTCACTAAGCCAAGCTGCTTCTTCTTCTTCTTTTTTTTTAATATATATTTTATTGTGTTTTTTTTTTTTTTTTTACAGAGAAAGGGAGAGGGATAGAGAGTTAGAAACATCGATGTGAGAGAAACATCGACCAGCTGCCTCCTGCACACCCCCTCCTGGGGATGTGTCCGCAACCAAGGCACATGCCCTTGATGGGAATCAAACCTGGGACCTTTCAGTCCGCAGGCCGACGCTCTAGCCACTGAGCCAAACCGGTTTCGGCAGAGCCCACCTTCTTTATCTCCCACCACCCGCCCCGGCCCAGCAGTGGGACACCGCGCTCATTGCAGATCTCTGCTTCCCCTCCAACTGCAAACCACCTGTGTCACAGCCACCTCGGACCCTTACTTAAAAATGCCCATTTCTCCGGTCCCACCTCAGGGATCCGAGTCAGAGTCGCAGGGCTGGGTTAACAACTGAAGAGTTGAGAATCCTGGGGTTTCCTTCCCCAGGTGGGAGCTGGGCCACTCTCTTTCCCCTGAGGCTTCCTGCAGGTTCTAAACAAATGCATGGGATCAGGAGGGCCCCGTGCTCCTAGGGTGGCTGCTGGTTCTGTCATCCCTGCACCTAGCGTCCCCTGAGCTGAGGCTCAGGCCAGGCTACAGGGTAGGAAGCCATGAGTCCCCAAGGCCGAGCACCTAATTCCAGCCAGGGCCCGGCTGGCAGCGACCTGGCCTGCGGAAAGCTGCCCTGAGCGGGCAGGGCTGGGAAGGAGGCTGTTTGCCCCGCCCCCTGGAGGTGTGCTGTGGTTTGCTGGCAGTGAGAGCACACACACACACACACACACACACACACCCTCTCTGCTGCCCATTATATAAGCTCCTCGTGTCTCCACAGTTCAGTTCAGAAAGACAGGCCCTCCCTCCACCACTGCGGACCGGCTCAAGGCGCCCCTTCTCTCACAGTCACTCAATTAATAACAATTATAACACCGGCATTATCAGCATTTCCTGAACCAGGCACTGTGCTAAGCACTACAAATGTTTTCTCAGTTGAGGAAAGAGACTCAGCAGGCTCTCCTTTCAGCTCAGGGCGGCTCACGCAGTAATGTGCTTCCCGGGACCTGGCTAAGCTCCGATGCTGACGGCCAGTTAGGGATGGAGGGAGACCGCACTCTTTGCTGATTCCCAGGCCAGGCCTCTTGCAGGTCAGAGCCTGCTGGGAGTAGCACATCCCAGCTGGGAAGCTGAGGGCCTGTGTGCTGAGCTCTGCCCCCATCGCTCCCCCCAACCCCCAAGGCTGCTTCCTCTCTGCTCCCCCTCCTCTGCTCTGTGGCCCTGCCCCACCCCAGCCCCACCTTCAGCGTCCCCTCTGCCCTTGGACAAAGTCCTCTCTGGCGCTGGGGGCAGGCCTGCTGGAGCTTGCTGGGACAGACTGGCCTTTGCAGGTTCCCGTCATGTGGGCCTGTTAATTAGCGGTGAAGGGCCTCATTAACGCCACTGTGGGTTTCATTCACATGGGGGGGAGGGTTGGGGGGGGCACACACGATACCTCCCATCCCCCACTGCCTCCCTGCAAAGCTGGGGCTGCCCTGGTGGCCAGGAATTAGAAGCTCTACTCAGTGGGCTAGAGGCAGGGGAGGGGCGTCTGTTTTTGGGGTGCTGGGTTACTCTGGGTCAAAGCAACAAGCTCAAGCCCCACCCCTTCTAAGCACCCCTTCTAAGCCCTTGGAATCCAATTAGAACCGAGGCCAGTGCTGCTGGGGTCATTTGGGGGCTCCTATCAATTTGGGATTGTACATCATCACCCCAGCCTCGGACTGCGTGAGGAAAGAAACTCCCAAACCTGGTGGGAGGCTCCAGACTTATCCCTGCTGGCTTCTTCCCTCCCAGCCTAATTTTGGGAGGCTTCCTTGACAGGTGGGGAGACAGCCTGAGGAAGTGCTCAAAGCCATTGGGAGGAGGGAGAGGGGGGTTCTGACTCCTGGGTTCATTCTGGTCCTCTAGGCCGCCCCGACCTTCACTCTGGAAA